GTAATATCATTAGATAAACTTGCAGCCTTATCAAAGCTTCTTGAAATCCTAGTTGGTTCTTGCTCTGTGCCTTGGGGTAGACTTTCACAGCCAGGCTCTTGGCACAGAAAGGGTAAAACTAGTGCTTTAAAAGCATCTTCCTAGTTCTGGAATGTGTTTATATCTATTTGAAGTAGTCTTGGTTTTAAGTAGCTTCTGAAAGTTGGACCTTTTTGGTCCTTATAGAACTTCTAAAGTTACTACTGGGTATTAAATCTTTCTCTTAACTCATGTGACTTGAAGCCTTTGCTGTTCAGTTACTCAGCTGCTGGTGCGTGATAGCCCTGTGAAAATAGATGATGCTCTTTCAGGGCTAAGGAGCACTGACCTGGCTACACCTCATGATTATCAGGCTGCAACTGAATAAATTGTTGAGCGCTGACATATTCTTAATCACAAATAACATTAATATCTCAGAGACAAGTTTAGCACTTTTTAGGGCTTTGAAGAAGTTGTGCAATGAGCCCTTGTTGCCTTGCCCTGGGGTGTTTGACTTAAACTCAGGGCTGTTTCCTGACGCATAAATTTAATATACAGGAGACTATGGCCTCCTCTGCTGTGGCTTTAAGTTGCTATTCTAATTTAAGAGGTTTCTGGCTCTGTGGGAGGCTTTCCCCCATTCAACTCTCTTTAGCTGTGTGTGTGGTTGTGTTCATATCAAATGACTTCACGGATCCGGTACAGAAAGAAACGAGCTGCAAAAGCCTGTGGGCATGCTTGTGTGTTTGACAAGATCGTTCCCCAGGTCTCGTTTTGTGTGGCTACACAAACAATTCTGGGAATAAAATGCCCACGTTTATGCGCTTACACGTAATGCTTAGAGATTTGATATGTGGTTTCGGTACAGGGTTACACTTTGGCCCAGGCAGGAAAATAAAAATCTGTAGGATTCACCTTAGAATATTTTTGTAAAAATGTCTCACTGAGCGGGAATTGCTGAGCATCGCTGTCTTTACTCTGGGACTGCGTATTTCTCATATCAAAGCCAGAAGTGCTGTGGATTTTCTGGGTTGCTTGTATGGGTTTTCAGTGCAGGATGGTCAGGTTCACTAAATCGAGCACAACAAAATGTTTTATTACCAAAATCAACTTCTTCATAATCTATGAAGACCTATCTGTTGGACATTTGGAAGTGGTTATAATCTACTAAACAGGACTAAGAGTTTGTTTAAATATACTTTTTGGTGTGTAACTAAAGAAATTGGCCTTAAAAGGTTGTCTAATTGCAATGGGAACTCTTGCAGTAGCTCTGTTTTGGTATTTTTTTAACCCTCTTTTGACTAGAATCACAAAGAAGTAGTGATTTACATTCTATTTTGAATTATATCTAGTACAAAACCACAATAATCAAATGGGGTGGTTGTTCTAAATTGGCAGCGGTCTAAGCTAGAGGAGGGTTAGACTTGTACTGCTATTGTTTATTCTGAGCATGTTGAATTCGTTGCTGTTGTATAAGTTTTTTCCATACAGAAAACAAGGAAATAATATTGTTAAGAAAACACAATACGGATGCTGAGGCTGTTTTACAAGATAAGATTTAGATTTCCGTATATACTTGAATGGGAGTCAATCATCCTTTTGGGTGCTCAATGACTATAGCGTAGTGCTCAAGCTGAAAAAAAGCAACGAAATGTATCAGTGACCTGATGGTGAAAAACACCCTCTGTGATGGCAAGGGAAGGGCATCAGCAGAAGAATGTCACCTCTCACAGTGTTAGTGTGAAGAGATGAATAGGTGCGTTGTCTGAACCAGATGAACTTGTTCTGTAGATTTTAACGCACGTTTTAAATAATGTCTGATTTAGAGCTTTGAATTAATGCGTGGTGGATCTTATAATTAAAAGGAAACCAGTTTAGCAAGCACAGGGCCAAAATATGAGGAGAGGCTGAAGTCGCTTGGTTTGTTCAGCCTGGAGAAGAGGAGACTGAGAGGAGATCTCATCGTGGTCTAGAACTTCCTCCCAAGGGGAAGAGGAGGGGCAGGTGCTGATCTCTTCTCTCTGGCCACCAACGAATGCCAGGAGCAGAGGAAATGGCAGGAAGATGTGGCAGGGGAGGCTGAGGTTGGCCATGAGGAAAAGGTTCTTGAGGCAGAGGGTGGTGGAGCACTGGGACAGGCTCCCCAGGGAGGTGGTCATGGCACCAAGCCTGACAAGATTGCAGAAGCATTTGGCCAAGGCCCTCAGACACATGGTCTGAATCTTGGGATTGTCCTGTGCAGGGACAGGAGTTGGACTCCATGATCCTTGTGGGTCCTTCCAGCTCACAACATATATGATTCTAAGTGTGTAAGTGAGTTAAGCACTGTAAACTCGCACCTAGTAACCTCTTTCCTCCCTTCCTCCTGTGCTGGGATGAAGAAGTTATGATCTGAGTTCTAGTAATTAATGCATTGAAACCTGAAGCTGTATGCTAGCAGTTCCTCTAACTTCTTCTATTGCACTTTTACACCTCTGTTTTTAATGGTTCTTGCCCTGTGGATAATTCAGCCATTCATGCATGTATAACTTCATTTTAATGTATTATCTTGGGTTTTCTTGTCTGCTTACAAACCTTTGAAGTCTGTCTCCTACACATCAAATTTGTCACGTATAAAATCCTTGCGTGCTATTGCTGCACAGTCAGTAGGACCTTCTATTTCTCATGCCTCTGTGTGCTGGATTTCAATGTAGAGATTTGTAAGTATGGCCAGGTGAGGCCTCCTGCACTGCAAGAACCTGTTGATACCCCCCCCACCCCACATACTTGTTATGAAATACAAGAAAATGCAGCAGTTTGATCCATCCCATAATATATTGGAGCCATAATTGTCACTAATCTAATGGCACCTCTGTGCCTAGACTTCTCTAGAGCACTGTGGTTTGGCTTTTGCTGGTTTTGGTCCTTCCAGCCTGTAGAGGGTCTAGGCAGTGATGCTCCTCAGGGGTTTCCAAGCGCGCTCAGGGTTCAGTGCCTCTGGCTGGGACCTGTATCTGCATTCATAACCTCCATTTCATAGAATCATAGAATCGTTTGGTTGGAAAATACTTTTGAAATCATCAAGTCTAACCATACCTGTCCACTACTAAACTATATCTCTGAGCACCTCGTCTGCCTGTCTTTTAAATCCCTCCAGGGATTGGGACTCCACCACTGCCCTGGGCAACCCCTTCCAATGCCTCAGAACCCTTTCCGCAAAGAAATTCTTCCTCACATCCAATCTCAACTGCCCTTGGTGTAACTTGAGGCCATTTCCTCTTGTCCTGTCACTTGGTCCTTGGTTGAACAGACCCACCCCCACCTCTCTACACCCTCCTTTCAGGGAGCTGGAGAGAGCCAGAAGGTCTCCCCTCAGCCTCCTTTTCTCCTGACTCAACAACCCCAGTTCCCTCAGCCGGGAACTCATCACACTTGTGCTCCAGACCCTTCCCCAGCTCCGTTGCCCTTCTCTGGACACGCTCCAGCACCTCCATGTCCTTCTTGGAGTGAGGGGCCCAACGCTGAACCCAGCACTCGAGGTGCGATAATTTCCCGATCTCCTTTTTTTAGTGCTTTATGCTTTTGGGAAGGCATGCCTCCTTTTGAACCTCTCTTGAGCTGACGTGGTAAAGCAGCCTTTGAAGTTCTTTGCCTTGGGATATCATTCCTTTCCCTGACTTAGGGGAACTTTCTCAATCCAGCCAATGTTTTGTGGCTCACAGGTTCTTGATTTGCACGATTTCTCTTTTGATGAACCCTTCTTAGGTGGGAGCTGTGTTGTGCCTGAAGCTGTCTCCACTTCCAGCAGATCTGGACAGCTAAATGCCCGTTTGTTTATTCTAGTTAGAGCCTATCTATTAGTTTGTGGTTTCCATGGAGGGAGGCCATGCTCTCCCTCTGGGCTTTGTGCTTCTTTCCTTACCTTGTGCTCATCGCTCTAACTCAAATCAAAAGTCATGTTTTCTTTTGCCGGGTTAAATTTCAATTAGGAAAGGGCATCAGAGCTGGTAGAGGGAAGAGGGCAAGACCATGAAGAAGGGAAAAGAGCAGATGAATTCTTTATTCACTCTCCTCTTCTTCCTCCCAGGGCAGTAAAATGTTACTTTGACTCATCTGTAATATGTAAATTCATCTTAAGGCAGCAAGGGAAGCTGCCCGGGCTCTCTCCTGTGCTAGCTTGCTGCCTAGACACACCAGTACTAGTTCTAGCATGAAGGAGGGACAAAAAATGCACTCAGGTATGAGGAGGGTGGGATTGTCAGAGCTCTGATTTATATCACCTTCAGCTTCACTGTTGCTTCTTGCCACCAGAGAGGAAAAAAAAAAAACCAAACCCAAACCCAAAAATATTTGTGGGGAAGGGGTTACAGGCAGCACTTCTGCTTCTGCCCTGTCGGTGGTCTGATCACTGTGGGTTACTGGAGTTATCACAGAATGTTTGAATTTTAGCTGGCAAGCAGTGGTTTGCTTTTTTGTTTGTTTGAAATGTGGGAAGAGAATAGAGTAAATCAGTAAATCTAGAAATAAATGGTCTCCATCAATGTGGATGTAAACTGCAGAAGCCCATACTGGTAATTCAACAGTGAACTTGATGTCTTCTGAGCACTCCTGTGCTTTTGGAAACACACGGTATACTACCCTTCTCCCAGCAGCACCGGCCCCATGAGCAGGATGTGACCCGCACTGCCTGGCGCAGACAGTTCACGCCTGCCCAGAAGCTGTCAGGAAGTGGCAGAAGTACAGTCTGTCAGCACCTGGAGTGTGTTTTCTTTCCTTTTTCAGCTTTACCCCGTTTGTTTCAGCAGAAATGGGCCCTAGAACTTGGCTTGCTCGTTTTGGGTTTTTTAATTCCATTTTTAAAAAGTAGGCAAACAAGTTCTGTTTGTGCTCAAATGACCTCAGCTGACTTGTAAATCTGGACCAGATTCTAATTAATATGTTGATTTGTTTCCAAAGTTATATCTGCAGTTCTTTTAATTTTTTTTTTTTTTCTTTTGTATTAGATCAAGCCTCAGAGGTACAGGTGACAATGATGCTGACTGAAAGCTGTAAACTCAGAGGACTTCATCACAGGTAAGCTAAGCAGTGTTTATAAACAAAACTGTATAATCTGTGTGAGCTGAAAATACTTATGCTTAAAGCTCCCTGGGGGGAGAGGAAATGATTTTTTCAGAACTCAGCAACATTTTGTACATTTTAATTTTTTTTTTTAAGCCGTAAAGAACTGAAACTATTTTTGTGTCACTTTAAAATACAAAATTGTAGATATGCTTCTCATTACAGAGGGTGCTTATAAGCTTTTTTTTTTTTCAGCTGCACAGTCAGTAAATCAAATACTAGCAGTATGTGGGAAGATGGGGAAAGTCTTTGGTTTGGTGTTGCAAGCCTTACAGTGAAATATGGGGAGATATTCCTGTTATATATTCTTTATTATTACTGAAAAAAAGTGCTGCAGGCATGTGTTGGTTTATGCTTGTTCTTGCACAGGCTAGTTGTTAAACGTGGTGGGATCTTAGTGATGATGAGAGTAAGTATATTATCAGTTTAGCTAATTTACTAGTCTGTTTTGTATTGTTCCTAATTTTCTACATGGCACAGAAAAGTACTGTGCTTGGGTACCCTCCCACGCGGAAATGAGGAAATGCTCTTTAGCAGTCTTGCGTGCGTGTTGTCCTGGTATGGCATCCTGACAGCTCTGGTGGGATTTATTCCTTAAGAATTAATGACATTTTTTGGGGAGTGATGGCTTAAGTCTTTTAAATTGATGTCCCAAACAGCCTGAGTTAGTGGCAGTTTTGCAGCTTGGATAAAAGGCTGAAATTGGCCTTTAAGATCTTAATTACTGGCATAGATGCAGGTAAGAAGAAACCTACACTCATCATCCAGTCCCTGAACTGGTAATGTGAAGGAAATTAGAATAGTTCAAGCAGAATTATTCTAAACTTCATTTAAAAGCTACTTTTCTAATAGTTATTCTGGTTAAGACCTTTCCTAAAACAGAGGATTATTAAGAGGAGTAGGCAGGTTTTTGGGGAAACATACTTAAAATTGAAACAAAATTAAACAACCCCCTCTCATCATTCAAAATCAACTGTTATCCTCCTTTTTACAAGTCAAACTCTTTAAATAGTACAAAAAGCTTTTCTTCTGTACATTGCCTATAAAACTGGTATCTTTATCTTGATTGAAGTTAGAGCTACGTGGGGATGTAGACCTCATGGGTGGGATATCTGACTATCAGACTTCTTCAAGTAAAACCAGGAAATTACAAAGTTCCCTTTTAAAAATAATTATAATTCATTGGAGACTTACTAATATATTTTCAGTAGAAGATACAGTTTTTAAAAAAATTTCATGGAAAATTGAAACTATATGTAGTTTATTTCAAGTTTCTACAAATCTGTATGTGGATCATATAGGAAGAAGTTTCGAAACAATGCAGCATGGGGTTATCTGAGCCATAAGGGTGTTGGAAGGAACCTTTAAAGTGGTTTAGTGCTGGCCTTGGCAGTGTTGGATTTACAGTTGGACTTGATCTTAAAGGTCTTTTCCAACCTAAATGATTCTATGATTCGAAAACACCTGCGATAAAACTCCTGAGATACTTCTGTATTTAGAGTCGATAATTTGATGTTTAGTTGATTCAAAACCAAAATTTTCTATTCTGTCATTTTGAACTGCATCAAACATGTCTAGACTTTTTTTAAAAAAAAACCCCCACTGTAATGGAGCTATATATTTTATATCTCTAGTTGCATTTAGAGTAATATACTTCCAAGTTGAAGATATGTCACTACTTAATGTAAATGATAACCTGCAGTCACAGAAATTTATTTCAGCCCTTTTGGACCAAATGAAAAAATTTGGAGGGTTATTCATAATGGGAAAGTACTCAAATATCTAATTTAACTGAAGCCCTAGACTTTTTTTTTTATTTGGAGACCTTGCGCTCTGCAATTCATAATGCAAGATTAAATTATTTTCTTCAGTGTTTAATTACTTTCACTTGCTGTGTTTAGGGGTTGAGAAGATTTTAATCACATTTCAGTTTCATAAAGTGAGGAATTTCTTTCTTTATTTTCCAGGAATCTGCTGCCTATCACTCATGTCTATATAGAAGAGGGAGAGAAACCAATGGTGCTGCTGCCGTACATGAACTGGGGGAACCTTAAACTATTCTTGCGACAGTGCAAGCTGGTAGAGGCTAACAATCCTCAGGTACGCTCCAAAATCTGTCACTTTATGCCCGTTAAACTTAGTTTTGGTATATCATTTGTGTATGTACCTTAAAAAAATTGTGTTATTCACCTGTTCTGTAGTGACAATGAGAGAATTGGCAAGCAGGTTTCCTAGGAAGTGTTTGTCTTTATTCATACAAGAGAAGCATTCTTGGATGTGTTTATTACACATATTCAGAGGGCATGAAGCTGAGTTCAACTCTAGTCAGAGTAGTAGCTGGTATATCAATATATCTTAAACAAAAAAAAATTTAAAAATTGGAGAAAATTATATATGATTTGGGAATTAAGTTAGAATACACAGGGGAAAATTGTATGTGGAGAGATTTCAGATTTACTGATTTTATTTTTGGTATGATTAATATATTATCGATTTAATTACTATTAATATACTACTATAGCTATTAATTATTTTATAGTAAGCATAAAGCACTTCTATTGAACTTTTACAGTGCTGCTGTAGGTTTGCTGTTAAGTAAAATACCTGGATTTATTTAACTTTTAATACTAAGGGAAACAATCTCTGGGGATTTTTTCTTTAGCATTCATAACTTCACTGTGTTTCAATGGAACATGTTGCATTTACTTCATCAGAAGTGAGAAAGGAAATATTCCTAGATGAGAACATATTTAGCTTATTTTTAAAAATCTGAATAAGTTTTTAGTGTTGGATATGTATATGTAGTAAAACTATCTCTCTTGTTAGCATTACCTTGTCTTTTCTTCAGCTTCACTTTGATTTGGCTTTTGTCTTTGGACTAAATCAAGGACAAAATGAAATCTTGTTTCCTGAGATCAGCAGTTGTCCCTGTTATTCCAGATTTCAAACTAGCAAAATCCACCTACCTCTGTTAAATTACAAGTTGTAATAAGCTGTTAGGGTCTTTCAGCTTTGATTTTACTTGTTTTGCTACTTAATCTGGATGATAAATCCCTATGCAGTGCACCAATATCCCTTTCCAAAAATTTAAGCAGAAATGGTATTTATAATCTGTATTATGTCAAACAGGAGTAGCCTCTTAGTAGCTAGGTATGACTGTACTAAACTATCAAAAAATGGGACATTTGGTGTCCTAGATACTTATTTGAAGATGGACCTTTTCTACAAATACCTAAAGCAAACTCTTTGAGTTTTCTGAAATTCATGGCTATTGTTCTTAATAACAATCTGTTAATGAAGAAGCCAGTTTATTATTATTTTAATTTAGTATTTGGTTTATTTTAACCTCAGGATTTCACTGAGTCCACTTACATACTGAAGTTTCTGAAACAATGTAGAAAAGGAAGAGCAAACCTGGGGTATAAATATCTGCAAGGGTTTAATTTATATAGGACTGTGAAGCTGTGAAAATATATGGAGCAAGAGCCTTTGATCCTAGTTTTCAGGAATAGACAGCAGCAAGAATTTTGACTGCTGTTTGTACTCTGCTACCTGAAAATGAGTTGGTTTCCAGAGAAACAGAAAGTGAAAAAAATGTGGTAAGAAGGGTGAAATTGGCCATTTTTGTCTATGTTCACCATTAATCAAAATAAAAGCTGTGTAGCAGTGAGGCAGTTGCAAATTGGAAACAGTTGTACCTGGCATGTCAAAAAAAAAAAGAAAAAAAGAAAAAAAGGTTATAATTTACAGAATCCCAGAATTGCCTAGATTGGAAAAGACCTTTAAGATCTTCGAGTCCAATCATTAACCCAACACTGACAAGTCCCCGACTAAACCATGTACCTCAGCACTATGTCTACACGACTCTTCAGTCCCTCCAGGGATGGGGACTCCACCACTGCCCTGGGCAACCCCTGCCAATGCCTGAGAACCCTTTCAGCAAAGAAATTCTTCCTCACATCCAATCTCAACTGCCCTTGGCACAACTTGATGCCATTTCCTCTGGTCCTGTCACTTGTTCCTTGGTTGAACAGACCCACCCCCACCTCTCTACACCCTCCTTTCAGGGAGCTGGAGAGAGACAGAAGGTCTCCCCTCAGCCTCCTTTTCTCCAGGATCAACAACCCCAGTTCCCTCAGCCATGAACTTATCACACTTGTGCTCCAGACCCTTCCTCAGCTCCGTTGCCCTTCTCTGGACACGCTCCAGCACCTCCATGTCCTTCTTGGAGTGAGGGGCCCAACACTGAACCCAGCACTTGAGGTGCAGCCTCACCAGTGCCCAGGACAGGGGGAAAGAGAACTTCCGTTGTCCTACCGGCCACACATTTAGACTTTTCCTAAATTTTCAGCAGGTGGTAGTGTCTGTAATATGCTACTATGAAGCACCAACCACTAAAGGGGAGGGGGGATGGTACGAGAGTACAACAAAACCAGTAACTTCACAGGTACTGGGCTTAAAGTTTTGCAATGATTGTTGTTCTGTGCTCTTGCAGGCAATTTCCCAGCAGGATCTTGTACATATGGCTATTCAGATTGCCTGTGGGATGAGTTATTTGGCCAGACGGGAGGTCATTCACAAAGACCTGGCTGCTAGAAACTGTGTGTAAGTACTCAATGGGGTAGAGTTACCATGTAGGCAACATTACATCAGGAGCTTGGGCTAGCTAGGCTTTCTCCGCTTGACCTGGTCTCTACTTCAATACCAGTGTTTGGGGTTTGGTTTTTTTTGGGGTTTTTTTTCCTCAGTTTTTGGGTGAATAGTCTTGTCAGTGAAGTTGTGTTCCTCTAAACATAAGGTGAACTAGAAAGTATGGTTTTCACAAAAGTAGAATGTCCTAATCTTAAATACTTTTGTATTTTGTCTAGCCTTATTTTCTCAAAGGCTTGAAAAATATTAAAGCTTCCCTTACACTTTAATAAAAACTTGGAATATAGATTTTTGTATGAAGTTGGTTTTTTTTTTTCATTTTTTTCCTTAAAAAAATAGTCTAATGGCTTTGATAGCTGTTAGATTTCTTAGTTGCCACATGATGGATAGGTACAAATGTAAATGGTAGGAATGCCAAAGTAGGGTTTGAGACCATCTTCTGGCTGCAATATGCTCTCAAAATGTAGATTGTTTGAGGTGTTTGGTGGCTTTCTATAAACTAAATCACTCAGAGACCACCAACTGTGCTCATTCTCCACCTACTTTCATACCCAGTAAGGGGAAACATAGAAAATAGAGGGTTCTACCTAAACTTAGCATCTGAAAATATCTAAAGGGGCATTAATCCATGAGCTTAATCTTACCATATCTGCAAGTAACTTCATAATTCAAGCAACACAGTTACTTTCCAGAATTCAAGACCATGTTTGAAGCTTTGAATTCAAGTTCTTGGAGAGACACTTGT